TTTGGGGGGGGGGGGGGGGAAGAAATGTCGCCAGTGTCAGTAACGAGCGAAGAGGGAGCCATTCGTCGTGACGCTATAGTATCCGCGAACGATAAGAAAACCAGCCGCCATGTCGTAGCGACTGTGAATCAGCCCTGTAACCTGAAATAACCTATACGTATACAGACCACAGAATTCAAATATTCATGATACACAACTAAAACTCAATTTGACCCTTTTTTTATCATAGAAATATGTTTAATAAAAATACAAAAGCTTTATTATTTATCATTTATATTAAAACGATGGCAATGCACGGTATACATTTATTTTGTTCACCAATGTTCCTTTTATCTGTCGTCAGGGGTACCAAACTTGTGCGATCACCCTTCAAATTCAATTTAGCACGCGTCTCCTGTACGTGGCCGAAGGGATTCGGACAGGAGAATTCAGCGGGCTGGAATACTTGCAAGGATGCATTCGTCGACGATATCCGTTAGCTGTCCGCACGATTGCTGACCGTATCTCCTTGGCTACGTATATGATGTACGTACAGGTACAGAATGCCGTGGGTAAGCAGAGGTCGAGGGTTGGAGTATGTTTACCACGGCAAGGACGCAGTAAGTATATAAAAAAAAAAATGTTGATTAAACTTTCATTTTCCTAAATAATTTATTTTGCTACTCGTGACTTTTATTTCTCAAAATGACGCACGATATGGATATCAAAAAGCTCACAGTAGAAAAGGCCCTGATATCGCGTGGGTGTCAGACATTTGATATTGCATTATTAGCATAGTTACGTGTACGTATGACATACAGGTACTACTACCACGTCTGTACATACGTGTCAATGGCGAACGTGACGCCGGAGGGTCCGTGCGGGCTTTCAATGGATACAAATCAGGCTAATTATTTGGGACGTGGGGATGAAAGCGGGGGATGCTAGAGCAGTAGCAGGGAGGAGGGTCGGTGGGTTAAAGGGGCTGGAAGTTCCGAGGGTTGGAGGGTCGTTTCGAAGGTTGGTAGGAAGAGGGCGTCGGCTGGTGGCGACAGCACTCGACGCTCAGCAGCGAACGACGCCCAAGGGATGCTGGGAATTGCGATTGCAATTAACGACGCCGCGTCAGGATAATTATTCTAAATTTTCGCCAATTTCAGAAGCGAGAGGCCGTCCAACCAATCTGAAAAATCAAAGGAACAGCCCTTGAAAATTTTTTAACGCTCAGTCAATTCTCTTTCTTCGTACGGATACCAAGTACCAACTGTGTACTAATGACAAAATTTTGTCTTATATATAAAATTTCAACCCCCTAACCTTCGTTCCTTCTTTAACTAGGACAATCTTTTAACACCCCTATATTCACTGCTGAACGCTCGAGTTTTCTCGAAGACTAGACAAATAATTAACTACCCCCTTTAGCAACGCCATTATGTCATTACCACAGAGCAACTAGACGTACCTCAGCGTTACCACTGAAAGTAGCAGCAATGTGCAATGTGCAATGTTCGAGCTGCGCTATTCGTAGAGGCGTGAAGGTAGCGGAAAGGCCATTAGCTAAATTGCTAGGTGTCTGCTCGTTGTACCGCTCTATTACCTTCCACCCCAATCAGGAGTCCAGGGAGCCCGACTACACCTACACGTGGATAGATATTTCTCCAACCCCCTTAAGAATACTTTACATGTATCCGATATACGTGGTGACGCGTTAGTTTGAAAATTTATCAATTACCTCGAGTTGTATTTTCGTCCTGTAGATTTTTTGTCATGGACGGGTGGTGAAATTTGAAAAAACAAAAAATGTTCAACTGTCCAGAGCATAGTATTTGGAAGGACCAGTTTTGCCCGTAACGTGGCATCCTTTATACATATTTGAAATATCCCTCTGGCTCTGCATAGAGAAACGGAAGTTACTGCGATCAGGTATTCCGTGAGATCGATCGTCCTGAAAAATTTGCGCTGGCACGTACTCCTCTTCGGGTTACCCTGGATTTTCCACTTGGAATTCTTACTAATATCAGGTACGGCGATGTTACTACTACCACTGTTGGTATTACGAATACCAGTGCCGCTGCTACTAGTACGGTATTAGGTAGCTTCGGCTTGGGTAACAGCAGTAATAGTAGAAGAACCCTCTGGCTGTCTTCTCCTCTTTTCCCTGCTCTCGCTCTGCTTCTCTTTCCTTTTTATTCCGCTTCCTCCTTTCTCTCGCAGCTTCTCACGGAAACGAGAAGCCGGAGGCGAGCGTCGCGACACGGAACGTCGGCGACTATTTATTCTGCCTTGTGCCCCCAGCGTATCTCGCGGTTGAGTCAAGACGACTTTGCTACTCGGAGCGTCACGGACGGAAGGTTAAAGGAAGACCGAGAAAAAGGAGGAAAAAAGGTGAAACAAAAAGTCCTTAGAACAGTTGCAAAAAAAACTTTGGTCACTCCTAAGGTCACGGTAGACCCGTTAGATTGTCATAGAAAAAAAAGAACATTTAAGATATATGTATACCTTCCGCGTCTGCTCGTCAATTCTTACGCAATTTCCATCTCCCCAGGTAGCTTTATCTAAAATACATTCTCTGAGTACCCGAGGACTAAAAGGTATCAGCGGCGAGAGGCGTCCGTACGGCAGCAACATGCTGGCAACTATTTATTTTATGTTGCGCCTGGAGCGTGTTCCAGGTTGGTCGGAATCGTGTTCCAGTAGGTTGTAGGTAGAGTAGGTTGAATCAGCGAGAGGGAAGACCTTAGAGAAGACTGAGGTGTGCAGGGCGTAGATACCCTACAGATATAGATATAGATAGGTATAGAGATAAACCTCTTCTACTGGAGGAAGCTGAACACCAAGGCAGAGGATAGGTACCAAACTACTATCTATACCTGGTCTATGTACGTACCTTGTGTGTGAGTGAGAGAGAGAGAGACAGCAGGTGGGTCTCATCCTGTAGAAGAGGCTAGACAGATGCTGGGACTCCTGGAAAAAGAGGTGAGAGTAGGCAACTCGTGCGAGGAGAACGGTCCAGGGAGTACGGAGTACGGAGATGATTAATGCATCCAGCATCCAGAAGCAGCCCTCCGGTCCGTTCGCTTCCTCTGAACCTTCTACCTGTACCTTCTACCTACACGCCACATCGCCTCTTGCACGGCCTCGGATTCTACCGCCGCAAAACTTCTGTCCTTTTATATCTTACTGCGCTCCTATGGTAAATGCCAATCGCGGGTTTTGAGGTTATGATGACAGTTGGTCGGTAAGGCAGTTTCGTTCGCTACTAAATATTCCTTTGATTCTCTTCCTTTACGTTACTAATGTACATTCCTTACAGATTTATCTGCGGTGATAGACCTTCTTCTTCTTACCGTGAATGGACTATACGTATCCTGGCAGAGTCGGTCGGCGGGAGCTCACTTGTTAAGACCCCCTCAAACCGGCAGAGTGGTTCGCTGCTAAAGACCATTTCGTGGTAGCTTCGACGAGAATCTCTCTGGTGTATATATGTATGTGTATTAGATAAATTTTCTACAATATTCTTATTATTTGTACAGGCAATTTCAGATATGTCAAATGGACGTGATACTCAGGCATTTTGGCAGTTTCTACTTATTTTGATTGGTGCGGTAGAAAATATATTTTTTTAATTTTAAACGTGATTTTATTTTTTTTCAGGTTTTTTAGTATGCATTTTTTTCGGGGGAAATTATTAAGTTTTCCTGATTGGTCGTTAGAAGTGCAATTCGAGCCAGTCGCAACGACGCGCGAATGCGGTCTAAGTTATCTGAAGCCGTGTTTGCCGTTTCGCGGCAGACTGGCAACCTCCTCTTCGGCTCGACTCAGGTTCCCCAGGTTCCTTTTGCTCTTTTGGGCTCCCATCTACGTATCCTGAGTTTCTTCCATCATTTTCGTATCTTCTTCTTTACTTTTCTCTCGTTTTCTCTCTCTATCTTTCTTCTTCTATACCTTACCGTAGTCCAATACTACCAGCATCCCTATGACAATACTTTCTTCCCTTTATTCTCGGATTTATCCTATTTACACTCTCTCGTTTTTCTCTTTTTATATTTTCAGTCAGTCATCACATATCATTCGATTCTTAAATTTGTCCTAATCATACATTATAACTATTTTAATTGTAAATATTTTCTCCACAACATAAACACTGTCATTCATGCCTACTTTCCCTGGCTTGAAGATGATTATGTCCATTAAATTTCAATTAATTCTCATCTTAGAGTCATCTTCAGATGGCGCAACAGTCCTGAATAAAAATGTATAGTACGTTCAATAAAAATAAATTATAAAAATTTGTACAAATTCCGCACCGTCTTTAATTATAGATTTGTATAGCTATTATCTCTATTTAAAAAAAGTATATAGACACACAGATATATAGATATTCATTAGACACACGGTATAGCTTCTCTGTATACTATACATACACAGGGTACTCCTCTACTCGGCTAGAGCGCCCACTTTAAACATTCACCCACTGCGGTCTGCGGTTCGAAGCTGCGGACGGAATTTTAAAAAAGCTCCACGTTTGCGCCGCTGCACGCTGAACTTCCCTTGGCGGCCGCCCAAATTTACTGCGTTTTGATTTTATCCCTGTCCGCCATTGCCTTTCCTGGTATAAACCACCCCTTCGCCGTCTGGCTAGATACGAACTGCTTCCACTTTCGCCTCTGTAGGATATAGTCGCTTTTAAGCTTTATATATAGATATACGTATTGCATGCATACGTATTATTAATCTGCAACGGGACACAAAACGCACGCGAAAACAAACAGAGTCGTTCGCATGGAATATAGAGGATGAAAGTTTGCCCATTAGAAACTACAGGTGTTTTCAGTCGATCTAAGCGTTCTATCGAAATTTACATAGTTACAGTGTCAGCATGCTGACATTTTATTGATTACATAATAATTATCTGGAAGTTACATAGTTGTTCTTCTATATATATATGTGTATTCTTACAAGAGCACGTAGGAAATCACTCATATATATATGTTTATATACATATATTACTTTTGTTATTGTTATCATTAACCTCAAAATCTTTATATTTGATCCATATGCTCTTATCTCTATCTTTATCTCTTCTTCTAGCTGTTATACATACTTCTGTATCTTGTATCAGTTCTCTCTCTCTCTCTCTCTCTCTCTCTCTCTCTCTCTCTCTCTCTCTCTCTCTCTTTATTTCTAAGCGCACCGCTTTCGCGTATCTCCGTGTACATTGGTCGAGGCGCCGGTTTTCTCGCCGCTAGCACAAATGTTATTGCATGCCGGGACAAATTTATTAGCGGCACTCGCGGCTACCGGCCCTATCCATCCACTTACGACGCCACCAGGAAGCGTCGCGATGCTCCGTTATTATTGTAAGTTGCTGCCAGGAGGCTGGAAGACAGAAAACGGCTGGAATACTACCTGGCTTGATTCCTACAGGAAAGGCAATCTTTCTGGTCACCAAGGGATGTTTTCGCTGTTTACTTTAAGATATCTTCCCCGAGGAATTTGATTTTTTGGGTAAATTCACCTGGACGGTAGATTTACAAATTGTTTTTATTTTAGAAATTCAAGATCAGTATTGACCGTAACCGGGCGGACTATAGAATCAAATATACAGGGTGTCTCACTG